AAGCGCATAACTCCACCAAATTTTGTACAATCATAGTTATTCAGGCTCAAAATATATCAATTAAAACAAATAAAGATTAATACATAAATCTGAAAAGCAGTTTTTTGTGTTATTCTACTCAAATACAAACAAACGCCAATGAAAACACAACGTCCTTGGCAGAGGTGGTCAAAGTAAACTCTACATAGATAGATAGATAGATTTTTATTTATGGATTAGCAGACAAAAAGACAAAAATATCCATAGGATAACATGTTAAAGTGAAACATCACTTATTTACAACATGGTCGCAAAATGGCAAGACAAAAACATTTAACAAGAACTTATCTAAATCTATATGTAAAAAAAGAATGAGGTGCATATGGTGATACAGTGGCATGAAAATAAATCTGAGTAAAAGGCTGTACTGATTTCCAAAAGCAGTTAGTTAAATATGACACATATTCTTTGATATTTTTAGCAGGTTTACTTTTATTTCCACCTTTTTAAGTTTCAAAATAACAAAACGAGGTAAAGTGTCTGACCCACATGTTCTGGAAACCTGCATTATTTGTAAAGACCATCACCTCCTTTATAACTTGTAAACCCATTTTCCAGCCAGTGACGAGTCTTTCCCTTCTTGTAGGGTGGATTTGGCTCCTCCTTCCATCCAGTAAGGTTTGCAGTTGTGTGAGATTCTCCATCTGTCCTGCATGCACTGCTCTTTTGAAGTCAATCCACTGATATTCAATAATGTTTAGCTCAGAGGAGTGTGAAGGCCGCACGCCAAAATCTTCAGCTTACACCTCTAGGGGTTGTCGTTTGTGGATATTGAGGTTTGTTAGGGGTCATGTGGTAGATCTTTTCTTCATCTTCAGCTTGTTTACAGACGTTGTGATTCCGGCTCCCATAATTTACTGGAGTTTAATTCAATCCATTCTTCACACTCCCAGCAAAATGTTGTTGGATACTGGCTACAAAACGAGCATGGAGCATTAATGAGCTGCCCAAGTGCTTCACTGCTGGAGACATGTTCTCCTCATGGAACTCTCTTTCCTTTCATCTCCAAACATACCTTTGCTAACTGCACCTAGAAACATCAGTTTTAACTTCACTGGTCCACAGGCCGTGTTGATGACATGAAAGTCAGATTTGTACAGGTTTCCCTGCACAGTTGAACCATGCACCACCTCTCCAGAATCTGCTTAATCCTCCTAATGTTTTTCTGCAGTCGAATGGGGGTTTTGATTTGCTTTTTTAGCAAACAGTTCTCTGTGAAAGTTTTATGGCTTTCTAGAATGTAACTTGGGGTCCACTATCAGTGTTTACAGACATTTCTCAATTTCTCTGCAGAAAGTGACACGTTTACATGGACATCAATATTTGGATATTAACCATGGACAATAGTATGAATAAAACACTGTCATGTAGACAACAGTCTCTGATTACCTTAACCTGAATAAGAATGTATGACAGATGAATGGGCCTATACCCCTACTGACGTTGCTTTGCTTTGTTTATCGTCAACCCAAGCTAAATAAGGACATTTAAAATGAATTTGCAGCTTTCCTTACTCCTTTGTGCTCACTCTCTGCCTAACATAATATTGCTGGGAGATTTTAATATACTTATAGACAATATCAACAATGCTCTCTCTAGGGACTTGGATTAAAGCAATTGCTGTTTATCCAACACTGATGAATTCGTTTCTCTTTACAACAATGGTCTTCATGGTCCTTTAAAAAACCTGGACTGTCTCCTCCCATTCTGCAACATGATTTGCACCTGCACTACGCCAACTCAAATTGATTGGCCACCGTTTGGAATGCCTCTACAAGAAAAATGGACTTGTTGTGCAAAATGAAATGTACAATGATCATTTTCATTATGACAAGGATGCCCTCTCTTCAGCAAAATAAACCTTTTACTCAGGTTTAATCAGTTCAAGTGGAGGCAACACAAGAGCCCTGTTCTCCTTGGTACTGTAAATAACATACTACGACCACCGGACTCTTGCACCTCATCTGTATTCAACCTCCTACTGTCTCTCCTTAATGCCCTTTTTAATGACTAATCTATAAAATTGACATAATTCTCCAGCAACTGTCTCCTAACTCCTCCTATAGTCCCTCCCCACTGGTTCTCTCAGCCCCTTTTCTCTCTTTCACTTTCAAGTTTCAATCTTCCCTCGGCTGTTGAAATCCCTGACCTGATTCAGAAATCGAAGCCATCTACCTGTCAGATAAATCCTCTTCCTACTGTCCTAGTAAAAAAACCTACCTCCTCTAAGGTTCAGAGTCTGGGGGTCATCTTTGACAGCACATTATCTTTCCAAGCCCACATGAATAATGTTACCCGGTCAGCATACTTCCTACGCAACATTATTCTCCTCCGCCCATCCCTCACACCCAACCGTGCCACAATTCCATTTTGCAAACTACATGTTTTATTCAGTGTTCATTTTATTGATGTTTTTGATACATTGTTTGTTGTTGTTTTTTGTGTTTTTATATCTGCCGTTTAAGATGACTTTGAGTGCTCTGAAAAGTGCCT